TCTCTTAAAATATTCCTAGATTAGTATTTATGCAAAAATAAAAAGTATAGCATAATTCTTTTCTTTTCTGAACGATGCGAATGTCACGAGTCAGACAAATTTCTGTGATATTCAATAAAAAGAAAAGTTACGGTATGCAAATTATATCTTAGCGTTTATGTTTCAAAAGAGAAAGGAGCCCGACTATAATATTGAATGAAAAATGAGCAAAAAGATGCAAATTTCGAATATCTATCAATTTTTTCATTTATGTCTGTAAATTTATTTCAATTATTTCGATACATTTAACAACATGCATATTAAAATCGTTGATATCTTAGTGTTTATTAATAATAATAACACTGTTATTAATTATAGTTGTCTATTAAGTATATATTATTTGTTATTACTATACTATTATTTAGTTAACACAATCACGATATTAATAGTATTAAAATATTAGTTATTGACAATAGATTATATCAAATACAACATATTACCATACTCTGAAACAAACTCAAAAAGTTTCCAGCTATTACAAAACAAATGGAAAGAGTAATTGCATTTTCCTGAAGCGTCCACGTGCTTTCGTTGAATAATTAGTAACGTTTATCAATGCATTAGCTTTCGAATCGACGATAAACATTTCTTATGCGAGATTTTTGTGCGATAAGCCGATTCGGAAGACGTTATTTCTCTGATTATTCTGGCTGCGCATGTCTGATATACACGTATATTTACATTCTGAAGAGCCACGTGCCGGCCAAGTCAGCAAGGTGAAATATTATTTCAACGCAGAATACGTGACTTTCAAAACCAGTCATTCAAATCGTTAAATCGTTCCCTGTGTAAGCTGCTCGCGAGGAACAAAGCCACAGAAATGGCAAACTAACCTCAAAACTCGTATCCGTCGAGCGACAGATTTATCTCATCGAGCAGCCAATTTTGCTTAATTTCATCAGTTTCGACCAGCTTTCAAAATTCTCTATCGTTTCTACGGGTGACTGATATTTCGTAACCTGTTCCAGTGACGTCCGCATTAATTTTCCCTCGACTATTTATTTTATTACTTAATCGGTACCAAAAGAAATTCTATTTGCCACTGCCATCGATACTATTTCGTTTATCTTTATGATGTAATATAAAAGCGAAAATAAAGAATCTCACATGCTTTGGAAGTTGTAACATTTTGATGAACATTGTACGGTATTCTTATCACAGTAATATTAATACTATATCTATTCTCATCTTTTTGTAGTTTCGAAATTATATACCCTCGTCACCCTAACCTCTGATCGAGTAAAAATTTTCGTACATCACCATATAAGCCATTCACTACACAAATCGATTAACTCCACTTTGTGAAAAATCTTAAATTTAAGTGTGAAAGTACTAGGTATAGTCATAACCTTTTATATTTATAATAACTTTCCCTGATAATTAAGATTAACACCGTTAAACGACAAAAATTTGTTGGCCACCGAATAATAAATAATTTATTTCAGAGATCACTTTGATTAACTCCGTACTCTAATGTAAATCGTTGCAATAATGCAACTCAAATGCACTAGCAAGCCATGAATGATAACGGTGAATTTTTTAGTGCCGTCTTATCAGAATTTAAGTAAAATTTAGTAAAATTTAAATTTACTACTTTTTCCACTTGTCAAATCGATTAACTCTTCCAGTAACATAAAAATGGTAACATTACTAACGATTACCATTTGGCTATTTTTTCTTATAAATTTTATATACCGTTAGATGAAAGTTACATTTGTATTTATGCATTCTACGATATTTATTTCGATTTAAATTATAAAGGGAATTTTAAAAAACAATATACATTATTTCATTGCATTTCTCCACTTTTTGTTTTATGGAGTTAAATTTGTATTTATGCATTCTACGATATTTATTTCGATTTAAATTATAAAGGGAATTTTAAAAAGCAATATACATTATTTCATTGCATTCCTCCACTTTTTGTTTTACGGAGTTAATCAATTTGTGCAGTGAACGGCTGATATGTTCCAAAAGGAGTACAAATTTTCTAGGTATGGTATATTTAACTTTTATTGCAATTCTGATAGAAAGATTTCTATTGTTTTCTTTTATTATTAGTTATCGTTATTTATTATGGCAGGAGTTAACGTTAAATTATGAGTTACGTAAAAAAGACTGTCGGAAAGGTTAACAAGAATCAAACGTTCATTTTGAAAAGCTGATTCACTGCAACATAGTACAGTGTGAACCGAGCACAGCAGACACGTGTACAAGAGGAGAGACCTTGCCCGCTAGCGAATCGAGAAAATTAAAAACAACAAAGGTTGAGAATCAAACGCATTTCCGTGAGTCGATATTAACTGCGTCCTTGACTTTGGATTGATTGGTTTACGAAAGCATATCTGTCTAGAGACAAGAAATCGACTGTTTAAGAGTCTCCTTCCGAACTACCTGCAGTCCCACTGTTTGCTCCCACCGAAGTGGGGGTGCACGTGTGTTTCCGAGGACCACCCATTCGGTCCCCTCGACACGTGTATGACCTTGACTTTGACCTCCACCGTCCACTAACACCTACCCCCGATTCCGAGGGTCGATGCATCTACCTCGAAAAACGTCGCCTCCTTCTTTTTTCTTCTATTTTTCCTTTTTTCCAAGAAGAAGGATCACTTCCTTTACGAGAATTTTGTAGTGAAAGAATGGCGCAAAAGGGGAAAAGAATTATATACTATTACCTAAACGCAGATAACGTAATTTGAAGAAACGCTAGTACCTACTGTGTGGGTCTCGTATTAGTCAGCTCTGCATGTAATATTTTGCTCGTCTGATAGAATAATCTGGAATAATTGAATAAGATAATAATTCTTCTAGCCTTGTTCATAATCTTTCTCTTCTTCGATGATTATTATTTTGTTCCACCATTTTTAAGTGTAACGATATACAACAATTTAGAGGCAGAAAATTGGCTGTTTTCTTAAATTCAATTATATCTCTCACAAATTTCTAATACTTTAGTACTTTTAAAACGTATAAGATAGATGTCATATTTATTTCGAGTAATTTTTATCTGCAAATTTAATCGTTAATAGAATTTCTGTGTTAGAAAAAATATAGTATATCAAATTGATTAAGTATTGCTTTAAACAACTTACTTAACATTAAGTTGCATTCACTAATTAGAAGAATTACTAATTATTCTTTGAGATTCCTGTTGTATGAAATATTGATTATTATTAGCAAAAGGTTTTTATTGTGAAAGAAAAATTACACGTACAAATTTCCTTTCTTTCAAAAATATCTACATGTCAATTCTTAGTAATTCAAATATATAAAAATTAATTTCTGTGTTAATTATTTTATTAACTGTAAAGTATTTTACAGTCTTTTACAGTCTTCGTATATTTTTATCACATAATTCCTTGTCTTATATATTAATCTGTAAAGTAATATCTTCTAATTGTGAATGATTAAAGTGTATTTTTTATTTTCCAGATTATCATTGCTTTTTGTTGCTAATGTCACGTAATTTGATATTTTTTATTAAATATATTTGGTATTACACAAATTTGTTTCTAATATGCAAGCCATAATATAATTATTTATTTAAGTAAAGTAATATTATTCAACATGAAAATATTTTTAAAATTTCAAAGGGACTATGGGAGCAAGATTTTTCCCAGTTATAACTTTGTAATCAATGATCCATATTGAGGTTGTTCAATATTTCTTTCTTTTAAATCTACCATTTAAAGATTAGAACTGTTGTTTCGTTTAAATCTTCAGTTTCGAAACACGATAAACCATCGTTTAATGGGAGCGTGCAAACTTCAAGGGAAAATCGGTAATAAATATAATTTTATTTATTATTGACGGAAAAAAGAAATAAATGACCTCAAACCTCATTCAACATTATCGCGTATTACATATACAATTAACCAGTTTTCTCTTTTCTTATGCAGTCTGATAGAATATTCAATTTTGTAATAATTTGTTTCCATGAAATGTATCGCATTTATTAATACGAAATATGTGCATACGTAACAAACGCCTATACATTATTCGCTTCGATTTATTTTAGAAATGAATTAATTTCGTAACTGCACTTTTCCAGAAAGGAAATAATATCTCATTAGTGAGTTTAGTTTGGGAGCTGCTTTATCAGGCACGTGTCAAGACTAATTGCCGTAGATAATTATATGGCGTATCTGTTACAGTTTCACTGACCCATTTTCTAACTGCACGAAGTGGTATCATTAAAGATTGTCATTAGTACATACGTTAATTATATATTAATTATATATTATATACCTTATTTGGTTTGTGTTTTAATACACAACCATTTTTAAATTACCCTCTCTCAAAACTGATCGATCCCCTATTTGCATCTAGTGCCTTTATTGTTACTAGAATATCATAATAGAAAGAATAGTGTATATATATATATTATAGTATATACTCCTGTATGTTAATTTAATAAACACAATAAGAAATATATATTAACAAATAATATTGATTTATAGCCGGTGTGGAGGTTACCAACAACTGGCATTTGATTCGCTAGTGGCGCTAGTAGTCACTAATGACTGCGACGATATGGTTAACTAAAGAATTTTTTTATTTGAATCAAATTAACAGCAAATTTTGTTTAATTATCAGTGCTATTAAGGTTACAATGAAAATGTCAAATACTACATCAAGGAGTATATACTTAATCTGTAATTAGCTAATTTCTCAATTACCTATTTCTAAAAAAGAAAATGAGCGCTAATTCAGATGACATAATTCCTTTCAGTTCTTGTTCATGCGAAAATATTGCAATGCATTTTTAATGTAAATTGAACAATCTGTCATAAAAAGTTAATGATTTTTATATTAATAAATTATTAAATCTAAAATATCCAGTTTAATAATTAGACGATTAGGCAATTTTGTTCTTAATTTATGTTATATATGCATATTATAACATATTTACTGAAATAAATATAGGCAAAGTATGCAAAGTTCATTTGCTAGTCAACATATTATGCATTTGAGAAGCTCTTCAATAAAGTTCGGTAATCGTCACTGCAACAACAGATTGCAATTAGTCGATGTTCTCTGCAGTTGTTTGCGTGTAGGAATCGACAATCCGCTAATTTACATTGATAAGGTAAATCGTGAATATAGGGATCTGTACAGCAACAAGCATCGTGCAATAATTTTTCTCCACAGTAAGGATAAACCGAACTGTCGCATAACGGACATTTTCTGGAAAATGAAAATACATGTCACAAAATATCCAAACTGAAAAGTTAGATTTCGTGTCACTAATTATCGACTAATAATAAATAATTAATAATTTATAAGGTATTGACGTTATAGATATTATTAGACTACTACCTATTACTATTAAATATCGGATATTACTCTTACTCGTTAAAATTTCATATGTATACTTACTTGTTTTGGAATGGTCTGTAAATAGTATCGATTGGGAAATTATAATATTTGACGTTGTCTTGATACGATTCCGCTTGTAGCGATGGCGTAGATGGTAACGTTAGCTTGGCCCCTATTGCTTGATTATCCGCTATGTCGCTCTGTTTGCCTGTCACGTGAGTTAGGAGACAAAATATAAATTATTCAGAAATCGTGTAAATATTGTCTTTAAAATTATATAAAATTCACGCGAATAAATATTAGATATAGAAAACCATAGTACTACCTACTAATTATTTAAGATTGTCAAAAAATTACTAAAATTAAGAAATTAGATATTCCTGATATTCTTTATAATAAATGAAATACAACTATATTATAAAGAAAGAAAGCAATCATAATTTTTATCTTATTATTAATACGTTATTAAAAGCTGTAACAAATTTTTCTCTTTCATTCACAAACCCAATTGTAATAATTATTGTTTATTTCGAATGTTTATTACCGAATGTCGAATGCTTGGTATGATTAATGAATTCGTGATGATAAAAAGATAAATTAACACAGAATAATCTTTGTTATTTACAACATATTCGTTACAAAATAATTATTAAACTAACAATATTGGTAGAAGTTAAACCAAATAGGAATAAAATAAAAAGATATAGTTACAGGAAAGTTACTATAATTAAAACTATATGTAATATAATTACAAGAATCTCGTGACCCTTAATTAACTGCATTCATAGTGAACGAAATTTGATATGTCACTGTACTTACTCGATTCAGGAGCAACGTAATATTGTAGCATAGCCACGACACCGAATATTACCGCAAAAATACGCATATTCCTCGACCGAAATTAATACACGGTTTTAACACTTTCGAACACCAACTGACTTTCCAAAGAAATAAGCTCCTACGTGGATTTTACTCCGATTTCTTTTCAAAACCCACGCAACGTTTATTTACGCACACGTAGCTCCGCTTACTTACAGGAGGATCACTTAAATGGTCGACCAGTACCCGTTATTCGTAACAGATCCAAATCTTTCTCTCTTCCTAAGTCGTTCCGAAAAATAAGAAAACGAAATCGCTTGCCGAGAGTATTTCCAACTAGGACTTCGATCATATTGCTCTGTATCTTTCCTAACGTGTTTTCTTCTTCGAGTTAGCACTTCGATGTTTTACGGAGGCTAAGGTACTTTTGGAAAGGAATAAAAATGGAACCGTCAGTTGAGATGAGTCAGGGACGAAGGTGGATTTGGTAGAAAGTCGAATCACATGGATCCGGTTTAATTTCGCAATTACTGCCAATCGCCAAATTGTTGCAAATTGGAACAGTTGAAGGTTGCAATTAAAACACATTTTTATTAAAACACATGGTTATATTTAGTTATATATAGTTATATATGGTTATAATTATTATATATATAACTATATTAATTATACTATTATACTATTATATATATATATATTATGTTATTATATTATATTATATATATTATTAGTTTATTTTCTTCTTTTTATTTAATAACATACATAACAAAAATTTATAATAATGTTCATTTCCTATTTTCTCAGGCAAATTCTTTGCGTGATGAATCTTTTGTTTTACTCTTGGGAAACGCAGTAATTTGATTGTGAGTGGATTCCTACATGTCTTGATTCGTGTAACTGTTTTGTCTCGATGTTTATAATTAAGTAACTATCGTTTAAGCAGGATTGCATCACATCCTCAACGAGAGAAGAGGATGCGAGTGAAACAAGTTTCCAAATACACGTTTGTACATTATTTCTTGCATTTTACCCATTAATATTATTACAAACATGACATCCAAACGATATTCATTATTTCTTTGTACAATTACACTCTTTTATATACATATACACGTGAAATCGCGAAAACAGTTTATCAAATTATTAGAAATTTCACTTCGTTGTCGTGTGTTACAAACATTCGTTGGCCGTCAAATTTCTAGCATAGTGGAAAAATAATTTATTAAAATAATTCGTCTTATACAAAATATTTGGTATTAAATGTGTACTGTTGGCTATAAGAGCAACCTGAGCACCGTTAATATCGCCAGGAACTTTACGAAGTTTGTGTTCATTGGTGATCCTGCGTCGTTCGCTAAATATTTCCCTGAAAAAAGAAGAATTTTGTATCATTCAGGATATAGGAAAAAATTAAAGCTTCAAAAATACAAAATTATCGTATTAATAATTTGGCAGACATTTTTATTATAAAATAAAGTAATTGGATAATGCTTCAAATTTTCTATTCTTGATAGTATATATAAATCATACAATTAATATAACTATAGTAGATACTTATGATACATAAATGGTAAGTGAGATATAGTTCAGAAAAAGAATAATGTAAAGGAAGTAATAAAATATGGTGTACATAAAATTGTAGATATACTTGAAATTTACATTATTTTCATTAAAATTATATTTTAAATAATATTATTAAAATAATTATTGTATCATAATAATTTTGCATTAACATATAAAGAATTATGATATAAATTTATATCATAAAATTATTCTAATCATAATGACATATCGTCATAAATTATTTTTTAAAGTAATTTTTCTATCACAAACTGTATTTTTATTACGAGAAGGATAATTTTGACTGATTTTTTCTTGTCTACTCTATTAGAATTGATAAAAATACGTTAAATTTGCACAAGCTCATCTCAAAGGAAAGATATTACATTACTTGCGCTTATGCAACGGCGTCTAGCTTGACAATACGTTTTGCCATAACACGTAAGCGGAAAAGTAATACTTACATACAGAAGCTAAGTAGGAATGACAACAACATTCCCGTAACCTCGTATATTCAGCACAGTCTCCAGCCTGCACTTTGCATTCTTCTGGCCCCACGCGACAAGTGTGCTTCACGAAGGGGAATACCTCTGAAACAATAGGCTGATAAGTGGAAGGAACGAAGTTTCAATGAATGGGAGAAATTTATGATCAATTTAAAGAGATTATATGCTATGTGCAAAATGATTCGCTTAAAGTGATATAACGAAGGTACTTCAATAAATATTTACTTCATAGACTTTAGATATTGCAAAATTTTCTCGTTTAATTACTTTTTCAATTTTTATAGAAAGAAATATAAAATATTACACTTAAATTTAAACGACCCGCGAAATTTTGTGCTTAATTCCCTACAGCGCCATCTGTTCGAAAAGTATGTATACCTAACCTAATCTCAGTTAACATTAGAGGGTAAAATTCTGTTAGTTTCAATGGCAAAACAAAATAGCTAAGGAAAAATATTTATTATGGAAGAATGTGGATAATTTTAACAATCAGGATAAACAAATTTCATGAGCTAATGCTAATTTAGATAATATTATTAATATTTATTAAACTTCTGTTTCAGTTTAAAATTTTCCAATTTTCCAAAATTTTACGTTCAGGCTTTGTTATTGGACAGTCTACTTGATTTATTTACCTAAAAATATAATTCTTAAAAAATTACTAGTTACATATTGCTAGTTATATATGACTGGGTAAATAATGGCGGTGAGGGTATCGAGTATGGAATGTAATATTACGGTAACTAACCAGTTTTGTACTTCTATCAACAATCAATTTACGTAACGAGATACTAAAGGTTTCTGGTTCCGTATCAATTGCGAACAACGTGTCTAGTTGATAACTATAGACTTAATTTACCGCTGGAAATTCTCATCTTTAGAATGCAATTTGTTTTGTGAAATGAATACGAATACAATCCATGTATAATTAAATTGAATTTAATTTCCATCAATTAGTTACTACGTCAATCACTAGTATTACTATTACTACTACTATTACTATTACTACTACTATTACTACTACTTTCTCTACCAACTAGTACTACGACCTATGTTTCTCAACCCATTGGCGTCGAACGATATTTTTGGTACGTTGTATATATCTCCATAGGAAATGCATAAAGCGCCAAATTTAATCATTTGACGTCAAGAAGTAACAAAATTTAATCCACGATTGAACAAATTTGAAACGATATAATTTATTTTAACATTGACCATTATGTACATGACAATTCGAACAAAATAAAATTGCATTTGCATAATACATTTTTTAAATTAATTATGTGTTAATTGATTAATAAATTGCTGATAATACAATTCTTCTATCTTTCAACTACTGGCAACTAGCAGAACATGCTTAGAAAAATTTGAATTTTAATAGTGTAATATGGAGTAATAACATAATGTTTATTATTTTCACTGTTTTGTTATTTACTGTATTGTAAGTTCTAAGTAATCCAATCGGTTGATTAGAAATGGGCAAAGAAGAACGTGTGATTCATAAAACTGATCGACTCAGACTCACGTATTCGATTCGTGCACACGATGCGTGCAGCAACGCAATTTTATTGCTACTACTGCCATTGCCATTCGTGTAGACTCGACGCGAATTAATGGCGAACACTGTGCTGAGACTAACAAATGAAACATTCTTGTAAAATTGTTTACAATTTGTACGAGAATTATCGAGATTGTTTAAAATATGTTTCAGTTTGAGATACTTATGTCACGTAAAATAAACTATTTACGTATTCATTTATTTTTAGTAGGACACATTTCACTGTTTCACTGCAAACTGTTTTAAGAGGATATAACGGTTAATTATCTCTCTTGTAACTAAAGACACAGGCGAGTACTTAACCATAAAGATAATTTTTTAAGTATCTATTTCCTTCTAAGCTATTTACTATTACTGCGTTGACAATTGTATCTTTCTCTTGAAACAAGTTCTGTGAAGGTAAATATTACGTGGTTTATTAATAATTTAATTAAATTGAAATTAAAATTTAGTGTAAATTATTAATTTAATAATAAAATGCACTTTATTTTCAAAGATTAAGCAAATTTGTATAATAAATAATACAGTTTAACCAATTTTTTAATGAATTTATTAGTCTATCATGTAACACTAATTATTCTGTTTCAAATATTTTTAAATTTAAATCTTAGGACTCTTCTCTTTAAATTTTTAATTTCACTTTTACTCGTTAAACTGTATTTTATTACTTGGTTATGTTATTAAATAAAGTTAAAGATACATCAGAGACTAAAAAACGACAACAAAGTCACAAAGATTGTAAAATTGTACACTATCGAGACAACACTAGGGAATTACAAGAGGGGAAACTAAATGGCTTATGACATAAGCGGAATGAAACATAACCTAAAATAATCAGAAACCTGAACTAATTCAGTTTGATTTAACAGCAAAAGAGACACGAGAATCACAAGGAATTAACGAAATATGACAAGTATAGTACATCTCATTCTTTACTGTTATTACTATCATTAATTATTCTGAAAAATAAAATTAATCTGTCATATCCTTTTATAGCTTTTAGTATCAGAATTTCTATTAAATTAACAATATCCACGTCAACCCCGATGTAAGTGTGTTAATTTCGTTACTCTCACTATAAAGAAAAATAATACGAGAATTAGGTTATATTTAGAGGTTAGGTTATATTTCATTAGGTTATACAAACTCTCAATGAAGAAAGAATAGGTATAATAGAAATGATAGAAATATTATAGAAACATTTTAAACGATAATACGTTTCGTCTTTCAGCTCAAAGCAAGAACACCAGAAAGTCTATGCTAATTAGAAATTCGAGCAAATGAAGTTAAAGGTGAACGACCGATAGCTACGTAAAGAGTTCGGAGGAAGAACGCGCGGAATACCTAAGTGTCCTTGTTAACGGCTGTGCCGATCGTTTTGCATGAGTCACCTGGTATAGCCACCCTGCGTGTGCTTGGACATTTACACGCGTGTGTCCGACAAAGATGGATTGTTAGAATGAACAACGATGATTTCCTGAACAGGTGATTGTCCTTCCGTCCAGCTGGATCTGAAGGTGCTTCACGAATTTACGTGTCATTTTCAATCGAAGGTACAACTGTGTTACTTCTCTTACACCGAGCAAACCTTTTGCTTAGCCGTCTGATACTACGTTGAACGAAGTATAGAATTCCTTACATAGTATATAGTCTCATCGAAATAAATATCGTTCAAATCGGTTTTAATTTTATTTATCGATTCTACAATAATTTGTTCGTCAATTTAGATTCTACTGTTAACCCTTTGCACTCGAGAGGCGCCCTTCAGTCGCCATTTGATAAAATTTCGAGCATCGATATTAATTAATATATCAATGTAACGGTGTGAGAGGTATCGAAATTAAATAATTCTACGTGTTAATTATTATAGATTCTTTATTTACTGCTCAAAAAAATATCGTCAGCTCTATAGTAGAAAATCTTTGAACTCCTACCCTTTTTTAGCCAAAAAATCGTCAAGTGCAAAGGGTTAATTCACTTCAATTAAATTTTCATTGTTCAAGGCGAATTTTCATTACAACTGAATGTACGTTTAAATAAAAATATAGTCTACGAATGGTAATAATAAATATGTAATGAAATAATTTTTAATCGTTATCATTTCCTGTCATTCATCTCGTTGGTGTCTAGGTTAGAGTATATAAATTTGTATATTTAATTTATTTCTATTAGATTTTAATTACGTCTTACTATTTAGGTCAAAGGAGTTGCTATTCTATTGTTACGAATTACAGGTGATACGACGATTCCAGGTTCCATTATCATTCGAAATTTCCGTGAACAGTTGCACAATCAAGCCGCCAGTATTTGCACGGTCAATTCTTCACGCACGAATTGTCTGCACGCTATTGTCGTTTTTCTAGTTGATTTCTATACGTAAATCGACGAAGGACAGGCCTAAAACGTTGAGAGGTATAATCGAGAGGAAAAAGAAACACGAAATAAAGAAACCGATGAAAAATCAAGGTAATCGTTCTATTTTCCATAATTATTGCATCATTAGAAGTACTTCAATGTTGAATATAGAAAGTTATATATTATACGTATGTAACACAGATATTGTTATATTATTAACCCTTTGCACTCGAGGGGTGCCTCTCAGTCGCCATTTAATCAGATTCTAACGATGGATATTAATTAATATATCGAATTCACAACTACTCAACGATGCTTGGGATATCGAAGTAAAATAATTCTACGTCTTAATTTGCATACGATTTCTTATTTACCGTTTTAGAAATATCGTCGACTTTATGGTAGAATATCTTTGAATTATTATTTTCCTGTAACAAAAAGATCGCCGAGTGCAAAGGGTTAAGCGTAGAATAAAATTCCATGTCTATTTTTCAGGTAGCTGCAGTACTCCAAATTGAAATATCTTGATATTTTTTAACATATTTATAGTGTAAAATTTTTATTTACAAAATACAGCGTGACTAAAGGAATTTATTCTAACATTTTTATCCTGATTTTTTATCTATGAAGTCAAAACAAGAGCATACAAACAGACTAAAATATCCACTTTGTTAATTTAGTAATTGAAGAGGTATAAAATTTATAAATAATTAAGAAAACATTACATTTATATTACTGATATGATTTCTTCTGAAATGCACAGATTGAAAGAGGAATTTCTAGAAAATCCTTTTGATTTAAAAATTCATTAATAATTCATTAGTATTAGTAATTAATAATTAATAATTCATTAATATATTTACATCTCAAATCCAAAATCAAGTCGATATTTTTTACGATATGCACGTGATACCGATTTCGAGACAGAACGTAAATTTATCGTTTTTAAATTCCAAAAGAAGCTTAAAAGGTAATTCATTTAAATTTATGTAAAATACGTACGAAAAATTGGACAACATGGATACAGATTTTAATACGAAATTTATATATTTACAGATAACACGATTAACGAAAATCTGTCAGCGGTAAGAATGTTAAAAAGATTTTTTAAATATTTATTTTATTAGGATTACTTTATTTATATATATGATTATTTTGTTTTTTAACATAATAGTGATACAATAATGTTACTTACCGTTGAAGCTGCCATCGCAACAGCAATGATCATTTATCACGCTTTCATCCTTACAATAGGTCATCTCTGAACTAGTGCAGGGCTTGCATCCTGGGATAGGTCCTGCAGAATTTATCAAGATATAGAATTATTACATTTTATTGAATGCAATATTTACTCTATGTTAATAAAAAATTCCATTTTTAAATTATTTGAAATATTTTTAATTTGTTAATATATATCCTTGGGATGTACAAGGTTGGGAATTGCTACTAGCATCAAGCAACTAATCATTTCCTTATGAACTAGAAGAGAAATAGAGATCTGAGATTACAAAGTTCTTTTTCAGTAGAGTGATATATTTTTATTACTACTATAGTGTCGTAATATATTACTATAATACTACTATATATATAGTAGTATATAATATACTACTAATATACTACAATATAGGCATTTTTATAAAATATACAATAGAATTTCAATTCTCTGAACGTATTTGAGGACAAATAATTTGTACTAGAGGAATTTACCGATTTTACCATCTATCTACGATCGTTCGTTTAAATAACAAAAGTTCATATTCAGATAAGTGGATTTAACCAGTAAAAGTTCAGTTTATCGGATACTAACTAATTGTAAGATTTTATAGCAATGAATCAAGTACTATTTTAATCCAATCTATGTAACTAAATAATGCTAGACTTTATTAGATAATTCTTCAAACGAATAAACATTAAATATGAAATAAAAAGATATTAATTTATCTTTTCATCAGTGACAATCTTCACGTCAAACTTACTACAATGTGACAGTAAAAAGAAATATATCATTCCATTCCTTGAAATCTCAAAAATTTCTAAAGTTCAATTTTTAAAATATCAATTTTACTTGATTTGCCTAGTCCCTTGACATATATGGAGATATCATCTCCATATGAATTTTAAGATTAAATCAAAGCTAAGAATTGTTACTAGAATTAAGCAATTTTCTTATGCACTAGAGGAAAAACGCATAGCTGGTAGCCTTCTATTATGCTATAGTAAGGGCACCATATTCCTTGAGCTAGAGAGCAACCGATTTTTGCTTGGCCGAATAGAAATAACATTTCATTATCCTCGTTTCGCAGAGCTATTATTAAAACAGACAACAGTCCCAACAAATCAAGGGAATATAGCTATAATTCATGTTAATTGGTGTCTCGAGGTCTTACGCAATTGTTTTGAAATTGCATTGTGGATGCTGTATTCCATACCGAATTGTAATACCGCCTTAACGCTAAACGTACCAAGCGGGGTCACATGACCCTTTTCAAAAATTAATTTATAATTGTACATTTTATTTTACTATTATTTCCTTCGCCCATTTGACTTTCTGTAAATTCCTATATCATCTGACTGTTTAATTTCTCGCTTTCCTTAATTTATTTTCTCCTAACCTATGTTTTATTGAGAAATTATGTTTTGCCCCTAATTCTTTGCATTATTATTTTATTTGCATTATTTGCATTAATTACATTATTATATTATTTGCATTATTTCTTACGTACCACGAAGGTGGTACTTTGGTCCCTTATGGTAATAATAGGTATGTGTAAAGTACTACAAGTACGTTTAGTGTTAAATTTATCGATCATTGTCAACAAACAAATATCTGCTAATTAAACATCACAAAATAATCATAAAATGTAACATACCGAAATGAAATTAACTAAATTTTCGTTACAGATGGTTCATGGCCTAAGATGAAACAATGGGAAGAAATAAGATCGAACGATGAGAAAGTTAACGCGGAACTGTACAAGTTACAGATGACAGAGATCTATTTATGCAAGGATAACTTCAGAGAAGCAAGGAAAATAAAACTCTTCTCAGAATCAGTATGTATCGTTAGAAATCACTGAAACGTATACGCTAACTGGCTGAAATTGCCAAACAAAACAGGTAACCTTGGCTTTTTGCTTCCTGTTCACGATAACGATTGCGTTTGAAAAACACAAGTTCGTTGCTGACTCTAATTATTCTCGGGTAACGATCATTATCAAGGAAGAAGGTGGCCTTTGGATGCTCACATGCAATAAGCACAGTGAGCCTAAGCTAAATCTACTGATCGAATCGATTGAGTACCTTTTTTATCCATACCGGCTGCAAAGAGGGAACATAAAGGCCAATTAATAAAACGAGAATACGTGAAGTTAATTCACTGAAGGAGGAGAATGTAGCTGAAGTATCCGTTTAAACGGATCAAAGGGAGGTTATTCTTGGAGGAAAGATAAATAGATTTCGATGCTCCGTAAAGTTGCTTTATAGACCAGACGTTAGAATGAAGTCAGACAAGGGGCTCGTGTATGTAACGCTTTTGATATCCCAAAGTGTAAGTTTTCTACCAGGATAGAGCTGCAGCTTTTTCGCCTCTGTAATAGCCTCCTCGTAGAGGACCTCGTGCTCCAGAACATATTCCTCGTCCGGATGATGGTTCACCACTGTGACCGATTCGAGATCACCGAGGATCAGGATCAGTATCAGTATTCTGAATGTAGCAGTGTGGCTCATGCTAAGGCCTCTTCTTCATCTTCGATGGTCATCGACATCGTATGGTTTTCACACGAATCCCACTCTTATTCGATACTTGAAATTCAAAAATGAATTACTCGTGAGATTATTTTTAGTGTCATTTGTTTCGTTCGGAAATTAACCCTTTGCTGCTACCATCGTAATAGCTAGATTAACTCTTTGGGGCACGCTGGGATTAAAAGTACCCCACCTTTTTGATGCACCGTAATGCATGGTGGAACATTTTTAGCCCTTTGCACTCGGCGATTTCTTCGTCACAGAAAAATAGTAATTCGAAGACTTTCTGCCATAAAGTCGAGGATATTTTTAAAACGGGAAATAAGAAATCGTATGCAAATTAAGACGTGGAATTATTTTACCTCTACGTTCCACGCATCGTTGAGTAATTTTAGATTTGATATATTAATTAACGTCGATCTTTGGAATGTGATTAAATGGCGACTGAGAGGTGCCTCTCGAGTGCAAAGGATTAGACCTGGAAATATTACAATAGCTGCATGCGCATAGGTTTATATTTCGTCTTATTCACGTAAAGCAATTGGTAATACCTTCGACAAATGTTACAAATGTATTCGCTCGTGTTGGCAACATTCGACATGCCAGTACAGGTTCATCGATTGTTGCAAGCGGAAGGTTTATAGCGACAATCTTTTTTCCTGGTTTTATGTTTTTACATCATGCGATTCCTTTATTGGTAAAAATATACCAATTCTGTTTTATTTAAAATGCAATCAAATTTCTATGCAACATGAGTCTATTTTATAATCTGAAATCCTGTGCCGCAAAGAGTTAATAACGATTTTTTTTCATACGAAATGGATGAAAAAGTGAAAGAAAGGCAGCTTTATAAATAAATTCACTTTTATTCGAGACTTTTGGTTTAAAGAAACTTCTCAGAAACTGCAAAAGTGAATTCGAACCTATAATCAATTGTATGGGCACGTTCTTGAGTGCAAAGGGTTAATTCTAGATTTAGATACAGTTGGTCACGGATATATTAGGACACGCGTATAATTTTACCTTTTAAATAAATAAAATAGCGTGTATTTTAAATTGATGTATGATGACACTATATTTATTATAATAATAGTGGAAGATTTTGTATCCTAGTATTTGTATGACCAACTGTATTTTTATTGTTCAAACATAGATTATTCCATAGATTATACTATATTAATTTTTGTTAATATAGTATAATATAGTATAGTATAGTATATAGTATAGTATAGTTAACATGTTGAGTCCCTGGGGACCAACAGTATGAAAGTTAAGGAGTAAATGTAGTAATTTTAATGATATTTATTGAAACACTTTAAATAAAAATATGGTTTGGTTTTGCATATATTACAAAACTGTTTTAGTCAAATTTCTGGCTGTTTTGCATCTGAATAGCGTTGAATTTTTGTCGTCACATTGGAAAAGACAGCAATATCGGCACCGAGCTTAACGTGTTAATATAACGATATCCACAGTGTCTGTAATATGTTAAAGCTGTGGATCAATTAAATATAATGCAATTATTTGCAGTATATGCTTGCGATGTATCTCACTGATATTTTATATCATTAAAGTTTTAATTGTACCCTATTGTCCACAGTTTTTGTACTTTTTCTTCATTACTCGGACTATTCCATGCACATAATATAATGATTGTCGCAACCGGAAGTATATGCAAGATTATAGGATAAGAATGCCGGTGGGATAGTACCATATGAACGATAACGATTGCCGTATTATCGCCATCCAAGGTGAGATTTGAAAAGGATCTTTTGTACTCAATGTGACTTTTATCAAGGTATACATTTTAGATATTCTGTCAACCGTATAATCGTTGTGTCAAGTAATTTTTTCGCTACGTTTCTGCGTATTCCAACGCTTCTGACACATTTTTAATTCAACACCGTATTTTTAACGAGTTAATTAATAGATTTATCAGAACCTGCTGTCACTTTTCCTGTTTCTTAGAACAAGGAAAATCATTTTATTTTACGTCAAGCTTATATTAAATAGTACAATATGAGTACATAACATGCTGAAATTTAAGTTTAATTTAATTTCAATTTCAATTTAAAATTAAGAACTTCAGAGGTGTATTAAAGGAAATTTCGAATTGCAGGTCAAAAATATGGTGAAATATCGAAGAATATAACCTTGAATCATATTTCAAATACAGTTGCATTTAATAAATTGGGTGATATTTTTCAATTTCTATCTTTTGGTCAGTAAGTAAACTTTTATATTTTTTAATAAGAATCATAAAATTTTATGATTTTAGGGATCCAGGTGAAAATTTGGGGACTGTGTATGGTGATTATACATATCAATTTTGATCGATAAATGTAAATTACTCGTAAATTCACTGCTATATAAACGAATTAGTTTAGACCGAGTTTAAATGATTTCAAGATATATTTGGCTGCTCGGAAAGTTCATGCCGATTTTTGGTAGGTGGTGTAAGGACAGGTCTGAATATATCAGAACGATTGAAAACAAATGACACGTGTACATATAGTAAAGGGCGGTACTTGAGGCATATTTGGGAAAAAATTTGGATGCGATACGTTAATTTTTGTCAGTTTTACACGCCTTTGAATATGGAAGAAAACCAAGTGCATGTTCAGTTTTCTTTCAAAATCGATACGAACTTTCAGGACAAGCCAATAGAATTATGTCATTACTTACTCTGTAAAGATCACGTGAAGTTCAATTTTGTTCTTTTACGTGGAATTATACGTCTTTTAATATATTCGTCGATGAAATTTAACATCCTCTATAAAAATTGTTAGTTTAGAAGTTATTTTAATTCGAATATCAATATGTATCCATTTTATTAACATTAACTGGATTTTTTTTATAAACGCTATCGTGTAAAATTGCAACGTAAATTCATGTTAAAGTTGTATAATTATATCACCTTATCTTCGCATCTGTTATTTGGACTAAATTTATGCTTTAAATGAGCCGTTCACTGCACAAATTGATTAACTCCGTAAAACAAAAAGTGGAGGAATGCAATGAAATAATGTATATTGCTTTTTAAAATTCCCTTTATAATTTAAATCGAAATAAATATCGTAGAATGCATAAATACAAATGTAACTTTCATCTAACGGTATATAAAATTTATAAGAAAAAATTGCCAAAAGGTAATCGTTAGTAATGTTACCATTTTTATGTTACTGGAAGAGTTAATCGATTTGGCAAGTGGAAAAAGTAGTAAATTTAAATTTTACTAAATTTTACTTAAATTCTGATAAGACGGCACTAAAAAATTCGCCGTTATCATTCATGACTTGCTAGTGCATTTGAGTTGCATTATTGCAACGATTTACATTAGAGTACGGAGTTAATCAAAGTGATCTCTGAAATAAATTATTTATTATTCGGTGGCCAACAAATTTTTGTCATTTAACGGTGTTAATCTTAATTATCGGGGAAAGTTATTATAAATATAAAAAGTTATAACTATACCAAGTGCTTTGACACTTAAATTTAAGATTTTTCAAAAAGTGGAGTTAATCGATTTGTGCAGTGAACGGCTCAAATGTCATAGGTAGCACATGAATTATTAGCCCGAACACTTGTGGTTCTGATATCGATCGTGCAATTCATTTCGTTTCAGAAATGATTCATCCCTCACTACCCTCTTACAGTTTTCGACCGAAGTCTGTTCTCATATCTAACACATTTCAAATTTAACTCACATACTCTGTCTCATACTATAACGCGAATAATCATGGTAATTACTATAATATAACATATTCTCGCTACTCCTACTAATAATAACATTACTAAAAATATCGATATCAAATATTCAATACAACTTTGACGGTATTTATCTAATATAAAATAATTTTAAACATATAAAAATGACAAACAAATATGTAATTAGCTGATAAAGAATAAGAAAGATAAGGCTACAAAAGCACCAACAAGGATAATTAACATCCTCCTAAAAATTATTTATAGACGACATTTAAATCGCTAAATCTATTTTTAATGCAAACAGGATAAAATAATCAGTGGTATCCAGAAACGAAAAGGTCCCAAAATCCTCGAACAAATACCGACGTCTGTTTGTGTACCATCCATATTTTACCGTGTCCACCACGCCAGGGCTAGTTGAACAATTGCCAATTGTTAATATTTACAAATGGAGCAATGGACTTATTAGAAATGTCGTTCAAAATTCACGAATCGAAATTTGTATTAAAACCAGAGAACCAGACTTTAACAGAAGAGTATAACAAATGAGGGAAAGCAAGTGCAGGAACAGCGTGAAGAAAAAAGGAAGAAAAAAGGAGATAAGTAGAAGAGTTACGTTCGCTGTGACTCACATCCCGATGACAAAGACGGACGATTGTTAATTAAGCCCAATTAAGGGCTCTGTACGCGAAACACGGATGTCTTGACTTTTCGAATCAAGGTGACATCGCGGAATGTCTTCCTGTTAATTGTCTTCTCGTTTCGATACTTTGCTTTCCATATTCGCGAAAAATCCTAGTGACCTATGCATCAGGACAGGGAGCGGAAATCGGCCGTGAAATGTCGAAGACGAAGCGTAAAGTTAATTAAGGTATTGAACGCGATATAACAGAAAGCGGACACGGTTTATCTACTTGAGGAATTACGTCATGACAGCGCTCGTTTTCTGGAGGCTCTGAGGAAGACATCGAAGAAGAAGACGCGAAGCGAGTGTACAACTATAGCGGCAAGAACATCGAACGATGTAGAGCCAAGGCTGGTTATAAAACTGTATTAATGTCATAATTTTACAGCACGACCTTTTGCCTCGGGAAAACAAGTGTCATTGACAGAGTTCTAATTAAGCGTGGGTGGCTATTTCCCATTTTTCGTGCAATTTTTTATTCGAGGTACAAATGCCTCGATGAAGGGGATTAAGTTATTGCTAGAACCACTAAACGGGGATTAAAATGACTGCTGTCGAACCGTGCTAACGGATACGAACAGCTGCCTTTGACAAGACGAACGTGATTATATATACCTACTTATCTTCGTCATACAACTTTAATTATTATTATGTATGCAGACTGTATTTGGAGACATACTACAGGTCGGTTATTATAGTATTAAATGGTATACCTTTAAAGATGTAACATTAATCTTTCATGTCTGCATACAAAATGAGTTTCTAACCATTGTCATAAGTAGAAATGCAATATCAATAGTTAGATTCTGTTTTGCTTATGCTTTCTTAAGAGAATATTGGATGGATAAAAGAATAAAGTATAAAGTATAAATCGGTGTGAATCAGATAAAATTGCAAGTTTTATCTCACCTTGAGATATTGTGGTATATAGTGTCATATGTAGCATTTATATTGCAGTATTAAGATATATCGTGATATTATAATGTTAATATTAAAATATCATATTATAACATTATTATTATAGATAATTATAGACGCATATATCTATAATACCCTCGTTCCAAGTACGAAATGTAAGATGTAATATTAATCTTTCATATCTGCATACAAAATGAGTTTCTAACCATTGTCATAAGTAGAAATAGAATATTAATAGTTAGATTCTGTTTTGCTTATACTTTCTGAAGAGAATATTGGATGAGTAAGAAGATAAAGTAGATGTGAATATATTAAAATTGCGAATCAGATAAAATTGCAAATTTTATCTCAGCTTCAGATGTTGTGGTATATAGTGCCATACGTAGCATATATATTGCAGTATTAAGATATATCGTAATATTATAATGTTAATATTAAAATATCAAATTATAACATTAATATGATCTATAATACACTCGTCCCGAATACAAAATGTAAGATATAATATTAATCTTTCATATCTGCATACAAAATGAGTTTCTAACCATTGTCAAGAGTAGAAATGCAATATCAATAGTTAGATTTTGTTTTGCTTATGCTTTCTTAAGAGAATATTGGATGGATAAAACGATAACGTACAAATTGATGTGAATATATTAAAATTTTGTATCAGATAAAGTTGCGAATTTTATCTCACCTTGAGATATTGCAGTATTAAGATATATCGTGATATTATAACGTTGATATTAAAATATCGTATTATAATATTAACGTACAGATAATTATATACCTATATATCTATAATACCATTGCCACAAGTAGAAATAGAATATCAATAGTTAGATTCTGATTTGCTTATGCTTTTTAAAGAGAATATTGGATGAATAAAAAGATAAAGTAGATGTAAATGTATTAAAATTGTAAATCACATAAAACTGCAAATTTTATCTCACCTTGAGATATTGTGGTATATAGTGTCATATATAGCATATATACTGCAATATTAAGATATATTGTAATATTATAATGTATAATATTAAAATATTATATTATAATATTAACGTATAGGTAATTATATATCTATATATCTATAATACCATTGTCACGAGTATGAAATCAGTATTGTGTTATTTTAATTACAAATTATCGTTGGAATTCATGTTTCACAAGACTATGATTACTATGCTAGTGTTTACCCATATTAGGAGGAGTGCTCATCTTTCTATCTTAAATATTACGGTAAACAAAGATGTTTTCTCGACGTTCGTAAATCGTCACTTGTAGCGCTTGCATGAGAAGCGAAAGCGTTCGTTAGTATCTATAGTCGTTCTTTTTAGTTACATTTTCAAGTAGAGCTACTTTATCTTTAGTCAACCTTTGACTTCATCGAATTATCTCTTTCTTTTTTCCCTCGTTATTACGGAAACCAAGGGAAGGATGACGAGGGGGAAAGTCATCGTGGTTATCGATACTCCATTTTAACGCAACCGAGAGCTAATTCTGAAAATAAACTTTCATATTTCTATTTTCGTAGGATAATGTTGAGAATAAAATCATTTTAAATATTACCCTTCTTTACGAGAAATTTTTCGCTGTTATATAATAATAATTTCTATATATTCTAAATGGTGTTATTTAATAAATATGAAGGGCTATTGGAAATCTTACCATTACATCGACTCGTTGGACGCGCATAGAATCCACGATAGAAAATCCATATTTGTCAACCGAATCCTTTGAATTGTCATTTTAAGATTCACTGACACAGTATCGGTTCAGTCACATTCGAAAAATCACTCGGCTATGTACATGGTATTTGCGAAGGTGCGATATGAAAAATTTATGCAAAATATTCGTTTAAGAGACAATGGATCCTCGCATTGTTTAGGATTAACACAGTAGGAAACGTGCAATGGCTAGAAAAGCGTGTCGGATTGGACGACGTGCGACCGTCGAAGACTACAGGCTGCGCTGAACTGTCGGCCGAGGGCTGAAAAGAGTATTAGGCACCTCCACCATCAGCCTTCTGTACAGCTGCTACTACACCACCTCTACTGTAACTTGTATTATATCGTATTATTTTGTATTCCTCTTATTTGCTTCTCACCGCGTAAAATCGCTCGGGCAAAAATAATTTCGTTTTGTTTCTAACTTCCACTGACTTATGTGTTTATAGATTACAAATTGTTTAAAAATTCGCTTCTCTGAAGAACGTACGATTTAAAGATCTGGCACGTAGCTATCGGTAAAACAGAGAAATACCTTTTCATACATCCATCGATCAGTCGTTGATAATTTTCAATCTCATGAAAATGTAGAATATTCGCAAAATAAAATTTGTTTTCGTTTTATATGAACTTTGTATCGCTTTTGATTTTGAAAAGCGTGACAACTGCTTGTCTTACAGAGTGTATATATCTCGACTCATTAAAATATTTAACGATACCTTGAAAACTTACAAAAGGTTATAATAATTTAAAATATTTTAAAGATTGAATGAATTGAAAATAATATGTATGTTCACTTGAAATATTTGTCAAGTCCTGTGCCCTCGAAACAGCGATACATATTTCAACGACCTTTTTATCATTCCACTTTTACGAACGTTTAAATATTCTTTAGGTGATCGATCATTTCTGAAAATCGTCATGACACTTGAAAGTGTCGTATTTAAAACATACGCAGTCACGACTAGCAATCAGTTTGGAGGGTATTCACATTTAATGTAACGCGCTCACGTACACACTTTTACTGTTCAGCAGCTGAGAATCCTACAATCAGAAATACGTGCTTCAGAGTACGAATACTTAAACGTGCAACCATTCGTATAAAGGGCTTTACGAACCCGCACCGCCGCGTAAATTGCGTGCATAAAGCTGCAAATCTTAAATTAGATACCAGCGTTCGTACCAGTTTTTCGACTGGAATTTATAGAAGAAAGTTTGCAAGTGGAAGAAATGCCTTTGTAAACGGTGTTGGTTGGCACGTATTGAAAAATGACGATTATCGAACGATGAAACGCGAGATATCCTTGAATTTGCAGCAATAAATTATGTCGATGCACTGCTGCGTAGACCCATTCGCGAATATTCGAAATATCCGAGTTATTGATTTATCGATCGATTTTGGTGTGGGTAGACGGATTCTGAAATAAAAGAAAAATCGTACAGAAATGCTTCGTTTGGTACCTGAGCAAAAAATAATGTTGTTTTTTACGATTACTAATCATGTTTTATTTTTTTAATTGCTTTCTTAATCACGATCCTATTTTATATAGTAAATCTTGTGAACTATCAAAGTATATTTTAATATATAATATTAAATAATATTTTAAATTAATTGATATTAATTTAATTTAATCAATATTTTATATAATTAATATAGGAGATATCGTATTTGAAAAATAAGTTAAACATGAATGAAAAAAATGACAAAATGTTATATAATGTACAGATATTTTTGTATGACTAACAGATATTTATTTCTAACCTATTGAATCATACATTTTTATTAAATAAATGTAATATAGTGAATATTAATTCCATATAACATAGTCATTATTTTTTAAGAAATGGTATTTGCTAACGTTTCTCATGGACGATTATGTACGTTATATATATATATAGATTACTCTTGCGAGAGTACACACCTGGATTTTTGTGGGGATGGGACCAGTATATACGTATAAAGGCGCTGTGAAAGGACGTTTATAAGAAAGCATTGAAAGCCTTGCGAAGAAGGGTCCGCTTACGTTGCTTATTGATCTTGTCGGCGAGTCCTGCATTGGTTCAATCCTATGCTCACCAATATCTTAAAAAGAATATTTTCATAATTTTCCATTTAAACGAGTCTTTATTTTAATAAGACAACCAGAAATTGTTTCGTTTTATATTACTTTCTTTACTGTATTAACTGTAAGATGAAAATAAAATAATTCAAAGAAATAATTAAGAATATTCGAATATTGTTGGTGACGAAGGAATTTATCCTTTTATAAATATTACCTAAGATTTATCAATCAAATTGTAATACACGATATATAAAAATAATGGAAACTCCTTATTGATCTTGCAGCCCAGTTTACATTGAACTTGACAAGGATATTCCTATATAGGAGTGAATTATACCTAGCGTACTCTATGCAGGGAATAAATTTTCAAATCTTTGTCTACCCGCATGTTTAATTTCTTGTTAGGTTATACACACCTGTTCTTCTATATAGTAATTACCATAAACGGTACATGAACAAAGTAAAATGTAGTTAGCAATTATTTAAAATAATAATAAGTATTATAATATCGTATGAAAGTTGGTTATAGGTTAGCATTACAATTAGCGAATAAATTGATGGAAATGCGGTTGAATTGTTACATTTATATTTTGTTTATTGTGGGTGCGTCAGTGCCTAGCCCTTGCACGCTCCACATACGTTTTATAGTGACACACCCTATATGTGATCCCTGGAAATGATCACGTAAAACGCACAACTTGTAGACACAATACGTCTGCTTATACAAATATCCGATTGAAGTTCGTCACCTATAGATAATAGAAATTAATGTAAACTAAAATAATTTTCTTAGTAACTTTTTAGTTGATTAATAAATCAACTATATTTTTACACATTATATTATCTCATAATGGTAAACATATAGCTATAATATGTGTCTTATAATTCATATGCATATAATTCGTATTTGCAGAGTTAATCATTATGAGAAAATGTTGAAAATAATATTGACTATCATAATCATTACTTACAACTATAATTTATGCTCACAAATATTTAATTGCTTTATTCTATACGAGACTTGTTTGCAAAATTTTATTTATACAAGTGTATAGCTACAATCATAAGGAATTTTAAAATGGAGATGGGTTTCCTTTCCTTGAAATTTAACAGAACTCTAAGTTTAGAAAATAATCTATGTATAGAATGTTTTCATGTTTCTTCGTCGATTTTATTGATTTACATTGATACAGCGGTTCTGTTCACTATTAACTTACTCCCGTTTAACTGTTTACTTTTTCTATGCGAAGAAAATTCTCTTCCGCCCCAGACTGTTATATCTCAATGGACGGTTTATTTAGTTTCCTGTAGTGTTAAACAATGCGTGGATGAAAATGAACGTAGGCGATAATGTGCGCGTGCTCGCATGTAACTATTGCACCAATTAATTGCGCAACTTTTAAACGATAATTTTAATAGAGCTAGTTTATAATTTATAGCGTACCGCTCTCTATAAAAATGGAAATATTCTGTTCAATGTTAATTTTCAAACGTTTAGATACATGTACATGTATAGAATTAAATATCGCAATCCATAGTATTCATTCAGGAGAATTACCTATGGTCATCATATTTTGATAAGTAAAATATAAAAATAATTGTACATTTATTACTTTAAAAAATAATATTAATTATTAAAATGATTTTTTATTATTTCAAACCAGTATTGGTTTTAAGCTTATGTTCATCTAATACATGTCAATGAAATGTCGTATAAAAAATGTATTACTTATCAGTTATGTATTGAGTATGTACATCACACGATCGCTTTCTTATAATTGGTTGATTACCAAGTGCAATAAGTTTGAATTCGCGCGTTTTCTACATTATGACTGTACGTCATTGCAGTAACTGTAAAGAATTTGAGTATTCATGCGCAAGCGAAACTATCGCGTGTTTAAACTGCGACACATATAGTTTGTGCCGCATTGCACAGTTCAAGCTGGAAACGTCAGCACTCTAAATAGAAATGTTTTAAGAGAAGTAGTACTAGGGAAGGTACGGATCTTTTTGCATACGCAGTATTTGTTATTTTACAGTTTTATATTAAAATACAAACGTTTGTTTGTACTTTTGATATAATATCAAACATCAAAAATGTCATCTGAACCGATTTTAAATCCCGTAAGTATTTTTTTCGTCCATTAGAAACATATTTGATCTATTAAATCCAGCAAAATCATTATCATTGATCAGTAAGAATAATTGTAATGCTGATATAATCGCAATATAGTGTAGTTTATCGATACATTAATTCGACTTTTATTAAATATAATAAATTACATGCAATTTTTTATATAATTTTAAAGATGATACTATATAATTTTAAAAAATATTTTAAATTTACATCAAATGTCAATTTAAAAAATGAATCAAATATCATAAATAATTAATATTATCTATTATAGTAGTAGTCATGTATTATAGTATATATGTATAATATAATATGTACTTTATATATATGTAGAAAGATATTCCTGTTTCTTTCTAAATTTTGAAGAAATATAAAATAATTAAATTTATGTAACAATTAGTTTTTAAGCATAACATTCTATCTGTAACATTTAAAAATATATTAAATAGTTCTCTTGTTTTTTTTAATAGCCTATTCCTTACGTGGGAGCCATTGAAGGTGGTTTAATACCTGGAAAAATGGTAAAAGTTCAAGGGAAAGTTCCTACTGATGCTGTGCGTTTTGCTGTGAATTATCAATTGGGACCTTCATTAAATCCAAGGGATGATATAGCCATTCATGTTGCACCACGGTTTCCAGAAGGTTTTATTACCAGAAATCATATAGAGTCAATGACTTGGGGTGCAGAAGAAAATACAGGTCCTATGTGGATACAACCTGGCCAAGAATTTGAAATACTTCTTTTATGTGATCATACATGTTATAAAATTGCCATAAATGGCAGACATTTTACAGAATTTGTTCATCGATTACCATATCAAAAAGTAACACATTTGGTTATTGATGGTGATGTAGAAATACAATCTATCATATATGAGACTGTTGCCATTGATCCACCTCGTTCTCCTAGAGCTGTTTCTGCACCAGATGTACCTGCTGCTAATTTTGGACCACCACGTAATTAAACTTTTTATATATATATTTTTAAATAACAAAATAAATAAACAGTTTTTAAACTATCTTACTAAATAATTTTATAGTTAATTCTATATAATTTTAGCACCTGGTGGGTTATATCCTACAATAGGTTCAGGTGGATATGGTCCACCACCTCCAGCTCCTGGTTATGGTCCACCACCACCTGTTAATGCATATGGTGTACCTGGTTATAATCCTCCAAGACCATATGAATATCAGCCTGGACCTGAAAAGCCTGAGGAACAAGATGTGTTTGGTGGTTGTTTAGATAAAGTTGGCCTAGCAATAGGTGGATTAGTTGCAGCAGGAGGCATAGCAGCAGCTGCACATGCTATGAGTGTACATAAATTTAATAATTATAAATATTTTAGTGATAATAATATATAAGATATGTTAAATATATAATAATATATAATATTATATATAATCTTTTAGAAAAAAAAAGAAGAAACTGAAGAAAATCATGAAAAATCTGATGCTTCTAAATCAAAAACTGAAAGTGAAGGTGGTTTGGGAAATCTTGGATCTCTTGGTGTAGCTTTAGCAAGCAGCTTAGTGAACAATGCTTTAAGCAATTCACAGGCACAGCAAGGCTATCCACCCCAGCAATCAAGTGGTGGTGGTGGTGGTGGTGGTGGTGTATTAGATTCTATTCTTGGAGCATTAGGTTTGACATAAACATATTTTTAAACAAGCTTGATTAAATTTTGATATAATATATTTTTTATAATTTTTAAAACTAAAGATATTCATATTGTAATTTGCTCACAACTGTAGATTTGAATTAAATGATTAAGTGTTATAATACTAGATAATGACATAGATGGCATCATATGTTATAACCTATATTTATATTAAAGGTCATCATAAATCAATGAATCACGATAAATAAATAATTAGACAAATTTGTATTTAAAAATGAAAAGTTATATATTTTATAATTAAATTCTAACATACTATAGTTATATAATGTATTATGTAAGGTGGTAGTGGAGGTAGTACTGCAGCGCCACCTCCTTCAAGTCAGCCAAGTGACCCATTGACAGGAGCTTTAGGATCCATCATTGGCGGTGTCCTTGGAGGTGGTGGAAATCAACAATCAAATTATCAACCATCAGGAGGTTATGGAAATTATCAACCTTCTGGTGGATATTCTAGTCATCAACCAAATTCAGGTTCAGATCTGATATCTGGATTAGGATTGCAATCAATCGGTTCTTCTTTGATTAATTCTGCTTTAGGAGGTCTTACAAAACATAGTAAAGATGTAAGTATTAAGTACTTCAAAAATTGTACATATATAAATTAATCTGATTGCATAATTATATTTTTGCATACAGAAGGAACATGGAGAAAATCGTTCAGTACCTCCAGCTTATATACCAAGTTCTCCACAACCTATGCAACCTCCTGTTTCTTCTGATAGTTCTGCTGCTGCAGGACATAAATTAACAGCAGATGAAATTTCAAAAGGCCTAGGTTTGGATGACTAATGTAAGTTAAGATAAAGATTCATATAAAATAATATATGCAATGAAAGATTTATGCTCTCTTATTATTATATAATCTAAGATGATTAGTATTCTAAATATTAACAGCTAAAATATTGCAAATTTATGCACACTATGACTGTATTAGGGTTGTTTAATGTAAAAAGCAGCTAATTATATTTTTAGCATAAAATATTTTAATAAACAGCAGCAGGAAATGTAATACAAATTGCGCGAATCTCATGCTAGAGAAATTGATATTTTTGTATATAGATTGTTTATTTAAAATAAATTCGCTCCAATTATACTTTCCCAGAGTATTATATACTTTAAGCAAATTATGAAATTATAAATTATGAATAGAATGAAGTAAAATATTTATAATACAATGTTTCTAAGCTTTTTAGTTAGAAATTTATAAACAAGTTAATATTTTTAAAAATTTATTATATTTTTATAAAGTTACTCATATGCCTTAAATGCATTAACATATTGAAAAACACTTTATTATTTATTT